GGCTGCAGCTGGGGTGCTCGGGGCCAGCAGCCCTGGCGGCACCTCCGCCCTCCAGGGGAGTCTGGAGCTGCTGTGAAACAGCCCCGGAGCAGCCCGGAGCAACGGGCGCCTGAGGGAGCCTCACGGCTCCGCTGAAAACCTCCAGCACGCAGCGACGGGCCCACGCTGAGCACGGCCCGCGGGGTCCGGTGACGCTCCCCACACACGGAAAAGGCAGCAGGGCTGAACTCGGCATCCGGGGAAAGATGGGGGCTCCCAGCCCAAGCAGGGAACGTAACCCTGGCTCTGCCATTGCATCCGCAAGGCGATGCGCTGGGCTGGGCGCTGCACAGGCTGTGACCACCGCCACGGCCTAGGTATGCACATATGTGTGGCTGCATGAGAGGGGCTCTGTGTATTTATATGTGCATATATGCACGTATGCATGAGCGGCCCTATGTATGTATGTAGGTCTGCATGAGAGTGGCTCTGTGTGTGTATATTGGGCTGCATGTGTGTATGTACAGCTACATGAGAGCGGGTGTATGTGTGTACGGTTGCATGAGAGCAGCTCTATGTGTATGTGTACGTATGCATGAGCAGCCCTATGTGTGTTTGTAGGGCTGCACGAGAGCAGCTCTATGTACGGCTGTATGAGAGTGGCTGTATGTATGTAGGTACGGCCGCAGGAGAGCAGAGCTACGTATGTATGTAGGGCTGCATGAGAGCGGCCCTATGCATGTCTGTATGTATGTATGAGAGCAGCTCTACGTATGTATGTGTGAGAGTGGCCCTATGTATGTAGGACTGCATGAGAGCAGTCCCATGCATGTATATATGTGTGAGTGGCCCTATGCATGTATGTATGTGCGAGAGCAGCTCTACGTATGTATGTATGAGAGTGTACATACATCCATAGGTGTGTATGCAGGGCTGCACAGGAGTGGCTCTATGTATGCACGAGAGCAGCTCTACGTATGGATGTAGAGCTGCATGAGAGCAGCTCTATGCATGTATGTACGTACGTACGTGTGTGTGTGCGCGGGAGGGGGTGAGCCCCTGCCCGCCCCGGCCGCGCACACGGCAAACACAGCGTGGAATTTGCACGGCTAAAGTTAAATACAACACACACGGATTTCGTCAGAGGAGCTGGCACGGCTGCCTCGCCAGGATCCGATTAATAGGGAAATAAAAGGGCCAGGGAGCGCACACAACAGTGTGAACAGATGCCCTATAAAAATCAAATACATGGTAATCAAGGGGACCAAAAGGTACATTTAAAAAAACAAAAAGCCACCCTGGAAACAAAGGAGCTGGGCGCTGGAGCCTTCCTGGGAAGGCTGTGGAATTAATGGGGAAGAGCACATGTGTTTGATAATCTTTATATGGCAAAAGACCCATCTTTCAAATATGTCACAAATTCATATTAATCACCTTCCTATTGCCTTCTGTGGCGCAGCTATTCCAGTTGCCTTGGGCAAAATTGGGAACTGTCTGGTTAAAAAAAATGTTTTACATTATAATTTACAAGAGCCTACAAGTCTAGTTTCTTTTAATGGGAAGAACGATTAAAAAAAAGAGAGAGAGGAATATATATACACCCTGGTATATATACACTATATATATATATTAAAATATATATATATATAAAAGACAGATATTGTAACTCCATCTGGAAAGAGAGAATGTTTGATCTTAACAATGTAACTTCTGGCTTTCAAACAGGCTCAGAAAACAAGAAGTCAGCAGGAGTTCAGATAAAGGAAGCTTAAAAGTCAAATAATTCTGACTCTGAACCCGAGACTTCTTAGACTCAAGGTCTTTTCCTTTACCCATTAATGGGCTGACTTGTGAGCTCAGGAACAAAGTGCTGCAATGTGAGGATTTCTGAGAGTCACTCATTACAGATCACTGAGTGGAGTCTGAGTTGCACAAATCAAAGGATCCAATCTGGAGTAACTGGCTGAACTTCTGCTTGGAACTAATTTGTTCCGAGCTGGTCTCACCTTTCACCTCCCGCGGCCCCGCGCGGGGTCCCTCGCGGGGTCACAGCGCCGC